AGTGACACATCAAGGCGAAAGATGACTGTGACATCTGTATAGCTGAAGGATTGCTGTCTTAAGCTCTTTATTAAAATTTATACGATCTGTTTCACATGTCTTATATGTCAACCCATTTGCCTTATCACCCTGCAGCTCACAACTGGCAACCCACTGAAGCTAAGCAGGTGTGAGCCTGGCCAGTACCTGGTTAAGAGACCTCCTGGAAAAACCAAGGTTACTGCTGGAAGTGGTGTTAGTGGGGCCAGTAGGGGGTGCTCACCCTGCGGTATGTGTGGGTCCTAATGCCCCAGTATAGTGACGGGGACACTATACTGTAAAAAGGTGCCGTCCTTCGCATGAGACATAAAACCGAGGTCCTGACTCTCTGTGGTCATTAAAAATTCCAGGGTGTTTTTTTTACTTATTAAACGGTTGAAGTCCTTAGGTCTGTGATTCTCAGTTCTGGTCCTGCAAGACTCCTGTGTCTGCTGTTTTTTTTTCTAACTGAATCTTAATCACAAGAGCTAATTGGTGCCTGTAAATGATATTTATGTTGGCCTTGTTAAAGTGCATTATTATGACCTCAGCACATAGAACTTCACTCAGTGCCAACTCAACTCCCATATTGAGTCAGTATTTATCATTTAGCGTGTTGCACCCAAAACTTACAAATAAGCACACAGTTTGCTCCAGTTAAAAATTTCACTTTGCATTTTGAAATCTGAAATCAAATTTAATTACCTAAAATAGAAGTTTGAAATCAGTCGGCCTATGTCTAAGACCAGGGATGTATTGAAGTTGCCCAGGACCACAACTGAGAACCACTGTAATCAAGTATTTTTTAAACCAAGGTCTGAGTGTATAAAAAAGCCTAAACAAGCAAGAAGATCAATTACTGGCAGTTAATGGCACTGGTGATTAGCAGATACACATACCGGCAGACATTAAGCACAGCTGAATAACACTGACCTAGAGAGTCACAAGGCTGAAGCTCACAGACCTTCACCACACTTACAGTTCCTTAGGTGTCAGCCCACACAAGCATATTTGAGTTGTAGGTAATAGGAAAGACCTTTCACGTGTAGCTTGGATTTACAGATTATCAATAAGCCTGCGTGTTTCTTTGTTTCAAAATGTTTTGTGGCTGGTGGTACTTATGACTGAACATTTAATGTGGTTTCGAAATTACAATATTATCTAATTCTATATATTATTATGATTCCTTACACTTATATAAGGACACTCCACTCAAAGTGCTTTACAAGTAATGGGGACTCCCCTCCACCACCACCTGGATGATGCAACGGCAGCCATAGTGCGCCAGTACGCTCATCACACACCAGCTATCAGCTGGAAGGAGAACAGAGCAATGAAGTCATTTCATAGATGGGGATTATAAGGAGGCCATGACTGGTAAAAAGCCAATGGGAAATTTGGTCAGGACGCTGGGCAACACCCCTACTCTTTTCAAGAAACACCCTGAGGTTTTTAATGATCTTAGAGTCTCAGGACCTTGGTTTTACGTCCCATCCAAAGGACGGTTCCTTTTTACAGTATAGTGTCCACGTCACTATAATGGGACATTAGGTCCCACACAGACCACAGGGTGATCACCCCCTGCTGGCCCCACTAACACCTCTTCCGGCAGTAAGCTTGGTTTTCCCAGGAGGTCTCCCATCCAAGTACTGACCAGGCTCACACCTGCTGAGCTGTCTCCTATATTGAACCCTCTACCCTATCTGTCACCGGACTGTCACCTTGAACACTTTAATGCATTGAATGATGTTTTATATAAAGAAAAAAAAAACACTTAAAATAAATAAGGGCAGTTTTCAGGTGCTGTGTTTTCTATTGAGCACTTACATTCAAGTAACTGTGATGGTATTACTTTTGCATATGAGGTAAATAATAAAGATGATACTTTTCAATTAAATGCATTCTAAAACAAGGTTGATGCTCAAATCTTTGTTTTCTAGTTTCTTTCAAATAACTCGAAATTATTCACAGATGAGCCCAGAGCAGACAGGTTGACAGGGCAATCAGTGCCTCAGTAGGTAAATAAAAATAGCCTAATAACATCAAAGTGTCGCGGAAAATGAAAATATGAAAATATTTCAAGTTTTATTTTTCTCATTTTCCTCCTTAAAGTGTTAAAACCTAAGATATGTTCTCTTAAACTTTTAAGATTAAAACAGTGAATAAAGTGATTTGCCAGTGTTGAACTTTAAAGTCAAAGTCTTCTTTATTAAGATTCTTCTGGAACACAAAGCATGCCTGTAGCCATAGATTCTCCTGGACAGTAATCTGCTGCAAAGAATATGCAACATATTAAATGTACTTATTGCACAGTTTCTGTAAATGTAATCGGTTTACCTTCAATTGGACCAGTAAGAAAAAAAAAACTTCTATCAGCTGTGGCATTTTTGATAATGGTTCTCAGAGAGGCTGTAATAACTGTGCTCCTTGAAACCAAAACAAAATACTGATGTTGTTGTTGTCTGTTTTTTAGCATGGCAGTGCGGGAGTTCTTGTGCTTGGATGATCCTCCTGGTCCGTTTGACAGTCTTGAGGAGAGCCGAGTAAGTCATCACCCGGGACAAGTCTACAAGGAACTCTGTCAGGGGTTTGCTCCTGCTCTCCTTCAGAAAAGAGAACCAGCTTCCCTTCGTGCATAGCTGCACATTAGAGGGGAAAAAACAAAAATAACAAAAATGTTTTTGTGTATAATGTGACAAAGTTGTTTAATAAGCATACTGTACATTTTGTATATCTCTTTATTGTTGTTTTAAGAAAATAAGATGACCTTTTTTGAGCTAGTGAATTTTTTTATTCATGATGTCTGTGAGGAGCAAATGTTTCCCTGAATCACATAAGAAGATCCTTTACTATAGTTGGTCATTTAATTTCAAAGCCAGATTCTCAGGATATGTTGCTGTTTTATCTAGCAGAATGACTGTAGAGAAACGACTGGTGCACAGAGTGTACTGTCTTTCTATAATAAAATGCCATAAACTAGCAAATAGGAAACAGACGGACTTGCAGAATGTTACATGGAATGATAGTAAAGTCAAAATGGGCATGCCATCAAACAGTTGTGTTATGTAGACCCATGACTGTTTTTATTGCTAATCCATGAGAAAATGGATTACCAAAATTACATTGTTTGTATTCTACCCAAAAGTGGTAAGTGTAGGACCATAAGACATTTAAATTCATGTCCAGACAAACATTCCCAACATCCAGTTCCATTTGCTCAGCATACTATTGTAATTGAAGTCATATTACCCTTTTCTCTACTTAACATGCAAACTTTGATTGGGCTTTTCGGTTTATTTTGAAAGTATTTGTTGTAGCATCTAATTCTTACAGCTATTTGGAAGCTATGAAAACTGGCCTGTGTGTTTCATTAATAGTTGACTTTCTTGTTTGTTCATGTCGATGCTGTGCCACATTAAGCCAAAACATATTTTTGGTGCCCCGCAGGCTTTCTGTGAAACTTTGGAAGAGACAAATTACAGACTGCAGAAGGAACTGATTGAGAAGCAAAGGGAAATTGAATCTCTCAAGAAGATTCTGGAAGAAAAACAGCTCCATATTGATGTCTTGGAAAAAAGAATAAAGTAATTGTCTTCATTTTATGATTATTGAAAGAAAGTCACTATAGCTGGCATTTTCAATTGACTGAATAGTTATCAACAGGCTCACTCATTCCAAAAAAGTATTTAGTGTATATTATGTGCATATTCTGAAAGCTGAAACTATGAATATCGGTACATTAGTAAGCAAAGAGTGTGACAATAACACACTCTACAGCAAAGTTAATGTAACAGCACTCCCGGCAAGCAACGCAACGCAAACACTACAGGGTGCACACAGACACACAAACCAGGGCCAAATTTAGCAGAAGCCAAAGTAACCTCCCAGTATGTCTTTGGACTGTGAGAGGAAACCAGAGTACCCTTCAAAAACCAAAACGAATACAGGGTGATCATACAAACTCCCCACACACAACAGCCCAGGTCCAGAATTGAATTCAGGGCTCCAGCGCTGCAAGGTAGCAAAATTAACCACTGTGCCACTGCATTTCTCATAGTCCTTTATTTAGCATTTAAAATCAATTCCTGGTCCTTCAGTGATATTACGTTTTAAGGTCCGAGTTCAATATTTTTTTTAAGTTGCCTTGTAATGTTTATTCAAACAGCTCCTGGGAGTATCCTGGATATTGCTTCATAGGACATTTATAATTTTCTTACACTGTGTTGCGATATCCTTAGTGTGACCTAGGTCAGGCCTTGGCTGTTTGTTATATCTAAAAGTTAACGACCACATATGCTTAATCTGTAGTGTTAAATGTTTTGTTTTAGGAAGAAAAGTTCCTCCTAACCCCCCCCCCCAAAAAAAAAAAAATCATATAGAGCTGACCTGGATGTTTACTGAAGTAGTCATTGAGCTTAAAAATTACAAACTTGATAGACCCTTCAAATTAAGTACCCAGCTGTAACAGGAGAAAGTGCTTCTCGCAGAAGGATTTGTTTGGCTCACCTCGTGTTTTACAGGCTCATTTCATCCAAGAAATTCATCCACCTTTTCATAATTCATCCCAGAGAGTCTCCATCCACAGCATGAATGGTTAGTTCATGGTTAGCTTTCATGACTGTTTCTGGAAATAAATAACGGACAGGTACTTTTTAATTTCTACTAATGCTTCTTGGGTCCCTGTTGTTAGCTCTTACTTACCAAAGCACTGGGTTACGAGTGCCGGTGCCTTTCAGGATGCAGTTCCTTGGCGTGCCGCAGTAACGCTGCTGTGTTTGGCAGGGATGTGCCTCTTGGCCCGGAGATCCTCCGCAGGCCGTCAGGACAGGGGAGCGAGTGCAGTGTGGACGGGTATGTGGAGTCCTCCGCTGTGGAAGCTGACCAAGAAATGGGAGAGGACAATGGGTAATTTTGCTGAGTATCATACTGTAACATTTAGGAGTATATAACTGTGATGAGCTACCTGTAATTTGTAAAGGCCACTAGATCAGTAGACTTTTCCTTTGATCTGAGGAAGCCAGTTTCCCAGGAACGAAAGGGCTTGAAACCCTACCTGAGATATAGCAGCACATCTCTGCACAGCGTTAGAGAGCACAAGCTAACAGGACACACTCTCACATATTTTGCTCCAGTACAAAAGCTATTTTTAAAATGGAAATGTGATTTTATGTTGTTTTCCAAACATATATTGTCTCTAGCTTGATTTGCATCTTCACATGCTTATAATTACATTTAGTAAATTAGGAACAAAACCTTTGAGAATTCCTGTTAGTGTATAATGAATAGTACTTCAGACTTTTGTAACCTAAATTGTATGAAATTTAGTCGATGAGTGTGTTACAATAAAGCTATGGTAATTAAATAAATTTAAACTATTTCTTGAAATTTGTAGTTTTGCATGATGACTTATGTGATCCATGTGACATTTAAGCAGTCTTAAAACTCTTTGAATGTTACAATTTTCATTCCAGTTTTGAAACTGTTTTTCTTTTTAATTGCATATTTTTAGGGAATATTTGGTATAGTTTTTCAGTCCTGGTCCTCTCTGACTACAGTCTTCTATTTCTGGTTCCATCTTAAATTAGCTGATTAATGTGGATTAGTCAATCAATTGAAATATTATACAATTATTTATTTAACCCGCACTTGCTTTGCTCTACAAAACCCTTGTCCTCCTATGTGGTTTTTGTCTTTGGAATAAACCAGACTTAATAATTTTAGTAATGTGTGGCTCGGCAAAGGTTATTTTAAAAGCCAAAAAGTCAGATTTTTTGTGGATTGAGGGAAGAAAGAGGATATAATTGCTTGCTTGCTTTATAGTGGCTGTACAAAGTCAGAGCCACTAGTAACAAAACAATTTAACAAAAATGGTCATTGATCTTGTGCCAGGTTTCCATTAAGCATAAGTAGTCAAGGTTGCTTTTTGTAACAAACTGCCACAATATGATTGATTGTAAGTTCTGTGGTGTGTAGTGGCCTTCGCATGCTTCATTACAGCACCGAGTGCTTCTCAAAATCACCTTCAGTTGAAAAACGGAGAGATCAGCACATATCCTCAGTCTGTCTGCATTATGGTTTTTGGTTCTGATATGAGGGACACAACTGTTGGAGGTTCTCCAGGTACAATGTCCAGGTAGTATTCTTATTTCACAAGAAAGAGTGAACTTCACAAAGAAGGCTGTAGAATTATCAGTTCATTTGTACTTATTAAAACATGCCCATTGCTGTTTACTTAAATCAGAGTTCCCCAGTCCTGGACAAGTTGAGTTTTGTATGTCGCCCTGAAACAGCTGTTTTTGGTTAGGATCATTTGTACTGTATACTATAGATCAGTTAAGAAAGTAATCTGATGAATCAAGAGAACTCTGGGCTTTGGGGGCTGCATAGTCTTCACAGATTGGTCTCAAATGATCTCTGTATTGCTAATTAAAAAAATTAAATTATCCCAGGACTTAAGAAATTAGTGATTTAATGGCTGCCTGCTAGATAATGAGTCTCCTAGAGACCCCTGATCTAATGGTCCTGTCTGCCTGTTATTGATAGTAATGGGGATGCATGAAGAATTGCTCCTTCCAACATCCCTCTCCCTCCCTGTCTTTGCAGCCCTGAAGTCCAGTCAGCCAAGCTGAACCATGTGGCCTGCTGGTGTGGTCCTGTAGCAGGAAGCTCTCCTCCCGTGATAGAAGTTGCCCAGGTGGCAGAATCATTTCAGGAACATTGATTATTTTTCTTCTCCTCTCCGCGCTGCATTTGGAAATCTCTTCACCTGAGAAGCCAGCAGGGAGGAGTGTCAGGGTCCAGAACAGCTTCTCCTCCCTGGGCTTTTCACAGACATCTGCAAGGAGTCAGTGCTGTACAGAGAAGCAAGGATAATCGAGCCCAGGATTTCCCTGGTGTTTTGAGTTTGGTTTACGTTCTTCTGCTTTTCAAGCCAGACATTTTAAATCTGTTCGCTTTCCTTGCTGAATGGGTATGTCCTGTTTTGCTTTCTAACTCTGATACTCCTGAGAACGAATTAGAAACAAGATGGAATGTGGCAATGTGAACCACACATATTTTACTATTTCTTTAATCAGCCTCCAGTAATAGTTGTAATGCACTACATTGCTTCACACTGCCAATGCTGTAAATAACAAGTTCAATGAAAAATAAAGCCATATTTATCAAGTTGTTGTATTTACACCCAAAAGTCACTTATAGCAAGGTTAAAGGAAAGGTCAATTGTTAAATTTAGGAACAACTTTTAGTCACTGAAAGTGCTGATGCTGCTTTCTGGAAGCAAAGAGGTGTAGATCTAAGGTGTCTTTGCCCTCACTAGAGGACAGTAGGTTAAAACTGTTGCTACACATATTGTGCTGTCTGTAGACACGTTTTGGGTTGTGGTCATTTTCTGCAAATACAGCTGAATGGAACTCAGAATTTAAATTTGTGTGATATGATACCACTTAGTCTGGTTTCGTTGTCTAATTCTACTGTTTACCAGAAAAAAAGGTGAGTTTAGATACTGTCGGCAGTTTATCAGAGTCAAACAATCTCTACTTGTCCAGACCAGTACCACTAATAAAATGGTGGCTTCTGGCTTCTGAAGTGCCGTTGATTCTCAAATTGCCTTTCACTTCTCTAAGGAAATCTGGATATGAATCAAACTTGGGTGAAACATTCTTGATAAATGTGGTTTGTGGTTTTCTTTGTAGAATGTCAGATTTTCCTGGACCTGGACTGTGTTTTCGATATGATATTGAAAATTGTGCTCTTTATTATTTTACTTCCCTGCTTGCTCTAAACCACAGAAAGCCCTTCAAGCAATGGACAGAACAAGAATCCATAAATAGATAGTTGCATAAAGGATTGAGAAAAAAATCCATAGACAAAACATTTCTATAAGGGTTTAAAGATAAGAAATGTATATATAATTGCATTCATGATGTCATCATGTATACAGTTGTATACATACACCTTGCATACTGAAGCAATGCTGTAAAGAATGCATCTAATGTACATACTCTGATCATTGATTTATACCTTAGAATAGCTAAATACATTGAAAAGCAGAAAATCTTGCAAAACGATCAGCCCCTATGCAGTCTGTATATACATTTCAGCATTTTCTGCAGTGCTTTAGTTTGATTTACAGGTGACAGGGACAGTGAATTGATTGCAGAAGTTAACTCATGGTGAGTGTCTATACAGAAGGGCACTGTGGAAGCTTGAGGTGAGGTCTATTTTTGCATTTGTTTCAAGAGCAATCAATGTTAAATGAAACATTTAAAATATTTGTTAATTTTAAATCATGCTGCTAATCACGTTTTATCTAGTTACAGATAAATCTGCTAGAATTGGTTTATCTACCAGAGTCTTTGTGTTGGTTCCTTTAGCTGTAACTTTTATAAATGAGTGTATGAGCAGCTACTGATGATTGACTACATTTTGCTATCAACAGAAACAGCAATAGTAATAGGGTGATCCACAGAAATCTGGCTCCTCAATAATACAGTGTAAAAAACATGTGGCTTTTAGTCAGTGCAGTGAACTTTTCACCTAGCCTTAACAATTGTTATTTTTGCCATTGAGTGCTTCGAATGTCTTATGTACTAGATGTGTTTCCCAGTCCTTGGCCTGGAGTAATCCTGTACCTTATGGTTTTCATTCCCACTGAGCACTTAATCAGTGATCCTCTTCAATCCCTTAATTGAACCAATTGATTGTTTTTTTTCAACACTCCAGACTTGTTCTGCAAATATTCTCCTTTATATGTATCATTTCTAAGAAATATAGTGAGCAGCATTCTGTTTCATCTTGGTTTAAATTTGCAGATACAGTGGGAATAACTATCTCACACTCTCATAATGGGCATTCTAAGTGCTGAATGGACCCGTTGCCATAATTCAGCCAAGCCGTTGAAACACTAAACTTAAGTGAGAGGAGCGGTAGAACTCACTGACACAGGTTGCACACCAATTTCTAACTTTGTTCTTCTCTTAAAGAACTAAAACAGTTTTCTACATGTAAACAGTTCAATTTAACAGCATGAAGAGCCAAATGAAGAGGTTGGAATTAAAACTAGACACTCCTTGAGAACTCAGAGTCTAGAGCATTGTTTCAGAACTGCATGTCTCTCTGTTCTGTGTATGTCCCTCTGACATTTCTCATGTGGGAGCAGGTGTTTCTGAGATTTGCTATCTGATCCCTCAAACATACAAGGAAGTGCTAACGAAAACAGGCTGATGTCCACATTTCATCTTGTCTGGTGGTAATGATAGTGACATCAATCTTTTCAGCACACATTTCAGTGCCTGGTTGTACACGAGAAATGGTCAGTTTCACTCATACAGCCTAAACACCGCTACTTGCCTCATTGCGGGGCTCGAATCCAGGCGAGGACGTGTCCTATTCACTCAGCCACTATATGGGAAGAGCCCTAGGAACGTCACAAAGAAGCCATATTCTGTGCAACAAAGCAATGCAAGCCCAGGCATGGTTTAATACTGACTGCGCTGTGCTGTTGAAATACAGCTTTATAACTGAAACAGACCTTCACACTCACGTTTGAAAAGTTTAACAAAGTCGCATGATGCACTTTATATTTCAGAGGAATTGTTTGAGATACATTCTGTTGGCAAGGCTCGTCATTTAGTTCAAACTTCTTTTGAAGTATAGTGCCTTTTACCTCGTGCTTTCATCCATGTACAGTCAGGCTTTCATTTTTTATGGTATTTTTAAAATGCTAATTATAATTTCCAAGTGCCTTGCTTGCCTTATGCAGTGGATTCAGATGTTTTGCTGATTTTTTCTTTTATTAGCTATAACTGAATAGTCGAAACTAAATCTCCACTTTGATTCTCTGTTGCGTCATGTGTGATTTTTAGACTGTATGTTCAGTAAGACCTATGTATAGGACAAGAGGTTGTACTTAAATGTTATGGTGTAATGTTTTTTTTTTACTTTCTGTCAAAGATTCATAATTAAGCGATGGAGAATGTTTCTTTCCAAAAGGCTGAGTAGAAAACCAGGCTTCAGTCATTCCTCAGGACTTTGAGGAATCTGAATCTGAATAAAAAGCAATCTGTTATCCTTATGACAAGACCTTATTGATCTGCAATATGCAGGGCCCAGACATTTCAGATTGTAAATCCCATATGTCTTCGATATAAATCCAGGCTCAAAATGGAGCAGACACAAACATGGCAGGAGTGGGAGCCTTGGCCTGGTGCATCATGGAGGGCCCAATGTACACTCTCATGCAAACACCTGATATTGGCATGGCAGCTGAGGTAATGTGGGAAAACCAGGCCATGCCACTATGGCAGTGTTCTTTTGAATATGGCTGGGCTCTGTAGTACATGGCAGACCAAAATGTTGCATTGTGAACATCTTTTGGTAGCAAGGATCCACAGTGCGCATGTGTACTGCTTGTGTTCATGCAAAGGTTAAACAGCATTCCCATTAAGCATAGTTTAGAAAACTGATCCCATTTTGCTTGGCTGGAGCCTTGAGCTTTCCTAAAGATGTGAAACAAGAAGTACAACTGTGCTGTGCTCCAGTTCCCAAAGGTGAATTAGGCTGCAGTTCTTCACTGTACACCAGGATATCCTATTAGCAATCTGAAGGAAAGATTCAGAGTTTATTTTTACCACTGCTTTTTTTAAGTTTGTGCATGGATGTACTTGGGGGGATTATTTCCAGACCATTATGTCTATTTATGGGCTTTAATAATTCTTTATATTAGATAAAATCTTTTTAATAAAACAACTTGATTATGAAGTTATAACATAATCTCTTGAGTTAAATCACATGCTTGTTTATTTATTGCCATTTTCTCCAGTTACTGATTTTTGTTCAGAGATTGCCCATTGTAGTTTATTCAAATTAGAGTTGCTCTTTCTATTCATTCTTTCAGAATATTTTAACACAGGTTTTTATGTCCCTGATATACTAGTTCACTAGTAAGAAAAGTACTGCAAACAATTTGTATATATAGGTATATACTGTATAGTGGAGGACATTTTCAATGGTCTTTCCATTGAATTTTAGCCCCACCCAAATTGTTGGTGATTCTCCTGGGTCTTCCTCCTGAATGTTCTGGCTCATCAGTTCATCCTTGAACCTTCATTTGTTATTGTGATATTTTGTGCATAATATTTTTGCAATCCTGTGGCTGTTTGACACCACATGGGTAGAAAAGAATGGAGAAATCGCTAAGGAAACTCATCAATGAAAAATGTCATTGCTTTAAAACGTATTTGAGAATTCCATTATATTTGTATTTAGTAAATCTGAAAACATTTAAGGTCAATTTAGAGTTGAATGCTGAAGTGTTACTGTTGAGTCGTAATAGAAGTTCAGGTAGGTAGCTGCGTCAGCATGCATAGGCTGCAAAGGAACAAATAAAGCTTTGTTCTATGCTTAAAAGAGAAGAAAGGAAACATGTTTTGGCTGTGGAGCCTTCTTTGTGTGTCCTACTTCCAAGCCCGAAGAAGGCTCCACAGCTGAAACGTTGTTTCCTTTCTTTTATTTTCAGCATGGAATAAACCTTTACTTGTTCCATAATATATAGAAGTCTACCTTTAAGGTACAGAAGAATAGGAATTACATTGGAGGTTAGATTACTGGCATGCTCATTAGTCACTTCTGTGATCCAAACACTTTCTACAATAATATCAGTATAGTATACAAAGTATACAGTAAAATCTAATATCCTGTAAGTACAAAATAAAGGGAAAGAAAATAATAAAACTCCAAATCATAGCTCATCCAAAACAAGTCTTGAGGGGAAATTTAAAAACTACAACATAGTGTTTTTTTAATATGGTCAGGAGGAGTATTCAATGTGAAGATGTGGTCCTTAGGAAAGTGGAGGACTCTAGAGCCAGAGAAATGAATGAGAGCGAGCCGGGACAGGTGGGGACAGTAACTCTTGAAGGTACACATGCAATGCCTCATGGGTCGAACAACGCAGTTTTAAAGGCTTTCTTATAAGGTAATGGTAACCAGTGCAGGTTTTTTAGCACAAAGAAAGTGTGTTCAAAATTTTTTAGTCCGATCAGCACTTTAGCAACACAATTCTGGATATAGATATACATATACAGTGCCTTGCGAAAGTATTCGGCCCCCTTGAACTTCTCAACCTTTTGCCACATTTCAGGCTTCAAACATAAAGATATAATTTTTTTATTTTATGTGAAGAATCACCAACAAGTGGGACACAATTGTGAAGTGGAACGAAATCTATTGGATTTTTGAAACTTTTTTAACTAATAAAAAAAATGAAAAGTGGGGCGTGCAAAATTATTCGGCCCCCTTGCGTTAATACTTTGTAGAGCCACCTTTTGCTGCGATTACAGCTGCAAGTCGCTTGGGGTATGTCTCTATCAGTTTTGCACATCGAGAGACTGAAATTCTTGCCCATTCTTCCTTGCAAAACAGCTCGAGCTCAGTGAGGTTGGATGGAGAGCATTTGTGAACAGCAGTTTTCAGCTCTTTCCACAGATTCTCGATTGGATTCAGGTCTGGACTTTGACTTGGCCATTCAAACACCTGGATACGTTTATTTGTGAACCATTCCTTTGTAGATTTTGCTGTATGTTTGGGATCATTGTCTTGTTGGAAGATAAATCTCCGTCCCAGTTTCAGGTCTTTTGCAGACTCCAACAGGTTTTCATCCAGAATGGTCCTGTATTTGGCTGCATCCATCTTCCCCTCAATTTTAACCATCTTCCCTGTCCCTGCTGAAGAAAAGCAGGCCCAAACCATGATGCTGCCACCACCATGTTTGACAGTGGGGATGGTGTGTTGAGGGTGATGAGCTGTGTTGCTTTTACGCCAAACATATCGTTTTGCATTGTGGCCAAAAAGTTCGATTTTGGTTTCATCTGACCAGAGCACCTTCTTCCACATGTTTGGGGTGTCTCCCAAGTGGCTTGTGGCAAACTTTAGACGAGACTTTTTATGGATATCTTTGAGAAATGGCTTTCTTCTTGCCACTCTTCCATAAAGGCCAGATTTGTGCAGTGTAAGACTGATTGTTGTCCTATGGACAGACTCTCCCACCTCAGCTGTAGTTCTCTGCAGTTCATCCAGAGTGATCATGGGCCTCTTGGCTGCATCTCTGATCAGTCTTCTCCTTGTCTGAGCTGAAAGTTTAGAGGGACGGCCAGGTCTTGGTAGATTTGCAGTGGTCTGATACTCCTTCCATTTCAAGATGGTCGCTTGCACAGTGCTCCTTGGGATGTTTGAAGCTTGGGAAATCTTTTTGTATCCAAATCCGGCTTTAAACTTCTCCACAACAGTATTACAGACCTGCCTGGTGTGTTCCTGGGTCTTCATGATGCTCTCTGCGCTTTCAACAGAACCTTGAGACTATCACAGAGCAGGTGCATTTATACAGAGACTTGATTACACACAGGTGGATTCTATTTATCACCATCAGTCATTTAGGACAACATTGGATCATTCAGAGATCCTCGCTGAACTTCTGGAGTGAGTTTGCTGCACTGAAAGTAAAGGGGCCGAATAATTTTGCACGCCCCACTTTTCATTTTTTTATTAGTTAAAAAAGTTTCAAAAATCCAATAGATTTCGTTCCACTTCACAATTGTGTCCCACTTGTTGGTGATTCTTCACATAAAATAAAAAAATTATATCTTTATGTTTGAAGCCTGAAATGTGGCAAAAGGTTGAAAAGTTCAAGGGGGCCGAATACTTTCGCAAGGCACTGTACATGGTTATGCTAACTGCGGGTGGCACGGAGGTTACTGTATACTACTGCCTCACACTTCTGAGTCTGATTCCAGATGTACTGTTTCCTCTGAAAGCTACACCAGCTAGTATTGAGAACAGCAGCTCCTCCCTCTGCTGGAAACTTTGGGAGAGGCCTCGCCAACAACCAGGGCATATCCTTCCTGGACCTGCATCTCTTCTGGGAGACCTTGTCCTCCTTTTTATCCACTGCCTCACACTGCTCCTATAGCATCCTTCAAGTGGTTTGACTCGGCTGAAACAGTAACAGATGGACCTGCATTTCTCTGTTAGTCTCAGCTACCACTCCTTCATCTTGCTCAGTTGCTGCTGGACCAAAGCTCAGTCAACCACCATCTTATCAGCTCTTGGAAGCAAAGCAAGGCTATATCTGCAGATCTCTGTGTCAAGACCTGTCAGACTGCTGTGCAGGCAGGAGCTGTTGTCCTTCAGAGGAGATGTGAAACTGACATCCTGCGTACCTCTTCATTATAAAGATCCATTGGCACTTTCTGAAAGAACAAGGGTGTTAACTCTGGTGTCCTACTAATTCCATCTGAGCTTTGGAAAAGCTTTTAGTTCAATTTTAGTTCATTTCAGTGTCTCATCTTGTATGAGGTGAAGCAGCTACTGCAAAATTACTTCTCCGCTGTGGGAGCTGGACTTCCATAGAGGATGAAGTGGATCCTTTCCTATGTGCAAGCACTTAGAGATGAAAACCACAATGTAAATGCAAGAAATTACTTTTTATTACAGGAAATCGAAAAAGATGGTCTTTTTAATTATTTTGCTCTGTCCAGAGCAACGGTATTCATTCTTCTATCCTCAGGTGGAAAGGTAATGGATTTTAATGTTTAGAGTCTTAAGCCTGTGTCTCCTGGAGCTCAGCTATACTTGTTTTTCTGGATTGGGTGGAAAGTTACTCAGCAAGATGGTTTTCTTATTAACATTTAGGCAATAGTTTCAGAGAGAAGACCAGGACCTGACATGACCTGGAAGCTTATTCTAATCTTGACTACTATTAAAAACAAAGTAAGACCCAAGGCATTAAGATGCCTCTAACTTTTTTTTGTTCTTTTCATAAATGGTAATACAGTTAGAGATGTTTTTCTTCCCTTTGTTCCATTTATTATTTTGTATCCCTGGTCTGTACTGAGTAGTGTGTTTTCCCCAGTGGGAGAATGAAGTGGCTGATTGCAGTGAAATTAAGTTTCAATTGTCTGATCTCAGCTGATTGAAGCACTATGGTTCATTGCACCTCTGCATTTAAACACACAATAAATACAAACACATTTAAATAGCATTTTCCCACTTTATATGACTATATAAGGATATTAATTAGTTATTCAACACATGAAATTGTATGTGTGAACTTCTGTACAACATGAAGTTATAGGTAGGATGTTCTCCTTTTTACCACAAGGTGGTGTTGTTAACATACTGTGGGCTGGAAAAACTGCCTACAAAATAGTAAATACTGTACCACGGGTTTATTCCATGCTGAAAAAGGAAGAAAGAAAACATAACGTTTCAGCCGTGGAGCCTTCCTCAGGTGCTCACACTTGATCCTTAGCAGCCTATGCATGTGACGCAGCTACCCACCTGAACTAATACTGTACCACTGCTAATAATAATAAATAATAAAAAGAACACAATAAAGGGTAAAAGAAAAAAAAAACAAGAACATACAGTATGAACAGAAGGAAAATCAGACACAGGACTGAGTACAAATGTGAGTTTTGAGTTAAGATTCAAAGAAAATAATTTGTTTCTTGAAGAGTCAGAGGAAAGGCATTCCAACACAATGGAACAGGAGCAGAAAAAGAATTGTTGCTAAATGTTTGTTATTTAGTTCTGGGTAGAGTGAGCAAATGACCAATTTGAACTGTACAGAACCTACCTGAAGGAGTATAAACATGGAGGGGTTCATAGATGTTTGATGGAGCCTGATTATTTAGAGCCTTAAAAGTCAATAACAAGTTCTTACATTGAATATGTGACACAATCGGCAACTAATGTAGAGATTTAAGTTTAGGAGTGATATGCTGCAAAG